AAAGGCAACTGGACTTCCTTGGTTGGTTGTTTTTTTTATTTTTTTTTTTTTTTTAATTTTTTGGCTTCTCATCTAAGAAGCTTTTTCAGTTCTAACTGACTGATGGGGAATTCCACTATTAGAACTATAAATAGTAAGATTTTGAGATAAATTGTGACCAACTACTTTAAAAAGTAAACAAGTCTCTTGTTTGTTTTTAAAAGTACTACTAGGTTGGTAAATACGTATTCTATTTCAAAGTGTACAGAATAATCTTTTCATCAGAAGAAATTAAGTACCACTTTTTCACATAGTCTGTTTTATTAAAAGCTGTAAGATTTTCTCAGCTATTCATCTGTATTTTATCTATTCATAAAAACTGTTTCTTAAAATTATGGCAACTGTTTCTGAAACTATTCTGTGATGACAGAGCAGCACAGGATGCTCCTTAAAGAGAAAGACAAAATCCCATTCTACCTGAAAAATTGGATACTGTAGTGTGTTGTTCTATACCTCCCCCATATAATAATGTGTAACTCAAAAATAGTTACTAATGTACGATGCAGTACATAGGCTGGCTTCTCATGCTATATTAAACTATATAGACATTTAGTTTGGGTTTAACATGCCATATGACCCCATACACTGAAGTGTGTTAATCATAGTTGACAACTTATCATGCCGTGCCAATCTTGGTAATAATATGATTTATAGAATAGTTATGGCAAGAAAGCCATGATTTAGTATGATATGTGAACTAACCCTTGAATTTTTTTAGAGACACAGATTCAGAAACCTTTCACTGGAATCAAGTCAAAGTAGATCTCCCTATATATGTTACATATGGGACATATACACTTATACACATTAGCAAATATAACACTGTAACAAAACCTAATTAGAACAAAGCCCAAAGTACATTGTTGCCAATATACTTTGATTAACATGAATTAAAATCATACAATTTATGTATTGTTTTGAAGTATATTTGAAAGCATATAAGCTCAGTGATCTTGGACATTGCTTTTATATACTAAATAGGGGTAGTATTTACAACAGTTCATTTAGTGACTATTTGAAGTTGGAAAGGCACTGCAAAAAGTGGCTTATGACCGTTGCAATATCCCCAAGGTCACCTGATTTACATTTGTATGCTTGACAACTGGTTCTTATTTGTGACAGTTGCAGTGTCATTGGATCATGTCATGTTACCTTTTGCAACCTTCTGACAAATAAAGTTAATAGGGAAATTAGATTTCCTTAACAACCATGTTACTAATTTAACAACTGCAGTGATTCACTTAACAAATGTGGCAAGAAAAGTCATAAAATGGGGCAAAACTCACTTCACAAATTTCTGGGCTCAATTGTGGTCATAGGACTACCAATAGTAGCCTGGTAGTAGCTAAATTAATGTCTACTTTAAGGTAATTCAGTTCTGTGTCATATATCACTATTAACTTCTAGATCATTTCATTATGATACCTTCTCTACTAATGTACTCATACACAGAACATGTAGGGGAAGCTGTTTTTTCTTTTCATATTTATATATAAGGGGATAATATAACTTTTTAGATACACCTTTAGAAATTCATAGAAAAAATGTTTTTAAATTTCCACAAAAGGGAATAATATTACAATAAAAGCCATAATCCAAAGTAGATATTCATTTTTCTCCCCACTTCCTATCAAGGTTTTTTTTTTCTTTCAATACAAGTTAATTCTTCTACTGAACTGTCTAAATACCCTTACTGATATCTGTGCAGCCTAGTTCTATACATCATGAGTTCTGCATGAAAGGACTGTTAGTTTCTTTTCAAATAAATTTACAATTACATTTAAAAACACTCTCCAATTTTTAATTCTCTTTTTTTTCTTTCATATTTTCCTAGGAACTAACTTCACCCTTGCTGAACTAGGAATTTGTGAGCCCTCCCCCCACCGAAGTGGTTATTGTTCAGATATAGGAATCCTTCAGCAAGGCTATTCCCTCAGTACTGGGTCTGATGCTGACTCAGATACAGAGGGTGGAATGTCTCCCGAGCATGCCATTCGACTTTGGGGGAGAGGGATTAAATCCAGGCGGAGCTCTGGTCTGTCAAGCCGTGAAAATTCTGCCCTTACCCTGACTGACTCTGACAATGACAATAAATCAGATGAGGAAAACGGTAGGCCTATTTCTGCAGTACATTTTGTAATGTATATGCATAGGTGACGATGTGATCGCACATGCTTGCCATAATAGACGGTAAAACAAAAGCTGTATTTCCCTTGTGAAGTCAAAATGCTGGTTCGTAGTATGCTTCTATAGGGGAAGTGATCTATTTTTAGGGAACATGAAAAAGAGGTTTAACTCATCCTGATTGCAAATATATAAATTATATTTGGATAAGAGTCTGTCATCAAATGGTATTTATTGTTCTCTCCAAATTTTTAAATGAAAACAAATGGAACTTTGTTGATACAAATGTAAATTGTATCTAAAAGTTTTTCAAAAGAAAATTATCAGGTTGTATATCATCAATTTTGGTAGTTGGATGAAAGCTAATCAAAAGTCATTTTCTAGTTTTAGAATAAACAAAATCTACTAAAATATTTTGTTTTAAATTTTAATAGTTTCAAATTTAGTAGTTTAAAATAGCTTAAACATAGTTGCTAAATGAATTGCTATGACTTACCAGTTTTCACATTAAGATATTAAGATAAAGATTTCATCAAAGTGAAATAAAATTTCTGCTAACACACAATATATCTTTTTTTTAAAAAAAATCTGAGGTGAATATATTTATAAAGAAGAAAGATAATACTTTTATTTCTCAAAAAAACCCACTATTGACTATTATTAAATATATAAAGACTTGCCTTAGTGCTAGAAAATATATGACTTTTCATCTGAAAAATCATAGTTTGGGAGAATCAATATATGTTCAGTTCGCCGATTTTCTAAAAAGCAGTATTATCATACACATTGACAAGTGCTCTGGTTTAATACCACAGCATGAACCCTTACAAAGTATCATTAGTTTGCTACTGCCCAGCAATGTTTTCATACATAAAAATGGTTACGTCCTTGAGATCTAAATCAATAAACTGTTATGTATGCATCTCCTAAAATTGTGTACAGGGATGTGGTGAGAAAGAAAGAGACAGAGAGGGAGAGAGATCGAGTCCTGGAATTAAAGATTTGTAGTTTCTAGAGATTCTACTTTTTTCTTCTTTTTTGTTTGTTTGTTTTTAACTGCTGTATGTTGCAATGTTTCATATGCACATATGAAGCTTTAAGGAACAAAATGTGTATAATCTATTATAGTACCTGAGACTTTTTAAAAATCATGGTTTGGTTGCTATTTTAATAATATTTAACAACTCCCAAGGGAAAAATGGCAGTTTGATACTGAATGTTTTATCATTTTATGTTTTTATCATTTCTCTTCAACATGATAAACAATTTTCTTTTAGTATAGCAATTCATATCCAGGAGTGAGGGAATTTAACTTCATTTTTATTGTTGGTGGAATTGTGTGACCCTGGATTTATAGTAAGTTTGTCCAATCACTTCTTCAGATCTGCCGGCTGTCTGCAATATGGCTGTTCGAATCTCACCAAGCTCAAGGTTGACTCAGCCTTTCATCCTTCCGAAGTGGCTAAAATGAGGACCCAAATTGTTGGGGACAATATGCTGACTCTGTAAACCGCTTAGAGGGGGCTGTAAAATCATTGTGAAGAAATACATAAGTCTAAGTGCTATTGCTATTGCTATTTATCCTACAAGATTGCAACACTACTTTTATTGGTCAGGCAAATGATAAGGATGATGCAAGAGCATATTCAAAGTATTCTTTGTGTTGTGTTAATCAGTTCAATAGAACTCACGGCTCTCATACTTCCCTCACATCCTGATACCCAACTACTACAGGGTGACCAGGTCAAGAGGTATTAGTATTTTTTGTCAACTGTCAGAAAAGAAGGGAGTCATCTGAAGATGCATGCTAGACACCCCAAATTATAGATGAAAGTAATTTTGTACAGGTTGCATTTTAGATTAATCTGGATAAAAATGTATAGGGCCAAATATTGCAAATAATTGGTGCATCAATTTAAAATTTCAGATTACAAAGTTTAACTTTCCTAAATGTAAGTATTAGTAGATATCAACAGAATTTTTGTTGATCTGCCTTTGCTATCCCTTTTTTCTGCTTTTAACTCTCTCAAGTATTTATTCATGTAAGAAAATGCTATGGAAATTATTTAAACTTTCAGTATATAA